AGGGAAGCATTGGCTAAGGCCTGTTCTGTTTCATTCTAGTTTCTTTCAAGATTCAAACCTTCCATCTTGGGGGGAAACTTCCTGAGACAGGATGTCTTCAGGGAGGTGAAATAGATGTCTTAAGAGGAGGTGAAATACTTCAGGGAAGTTTCTTAAAAAAGGGAGAAAACAACTAAAAGTTACTCCAGAAAGTCCCTAAATTGACTAAATTCACTTGGCCTCTCCCTCTACAAGACTATATCAACAGTAAAGACTGCTGGAGAGTCATAGTCAGACCAGCCCTATGGCCTGGAAGAAGCTTTGAGCAGCCTAGCAGAAGGAAAGTCCAGCCAAGGAGACCAAAATAAGCATAGACCAGACTGAACTGCCTAGAAGAAACAAAGTCCTACTAAGCTGCCTGGAAGAGGCTCAGGCCAACTGACCCACCTGGAATGGATACACTCTAATCTGTTGTGCTTCCTGTTGCCTGCAGGCTGTGTACAGTGTTGTGCATTTCCTGTGGGTTGTCACTCAAGCTGAATTGGGCTTTGTAATACAGCTGTTTTTGAAATCATTTCTGTGCCTGTATGAAACTTCAGACCCTTTTCTTCCTACTTGCTTGCTTCAACCAGCCTTGGGGTTTTGTCCAGTCTTACTGTAACTTGTTATGCCATGTTCAGATGATATCCCCAAGATGCCTGTTATTTTTTTGAAGGGAACTGGAGGAGGAGTGAGGGAGAGGGAGATGAGTGTGTGTGAGGGGGGTGGGTGGGATGGTGGCTGCGATCCAGATCCAATGTATGAGAAAAGAACAAAAAGGAAAAGAAAACTCTTGCCCATATTCCTTATGCAATCCCAATGAAACTCATTAGTTCACCAAGTTGGACTTTGGTAATATCTGTAATCTAGTTTGTGTGGTTGATTCCCTATCTGGAGTGAGTAAACATTTGTCCATGTCTCCCCAGGAAGCTTGTCATGCAATAGCTTCCTTTGTTCCCTTGTATATTCTTATGTACTCTTTAGGCATCACTTCTAGAGATCATGGAATTTCATTGTCTAGAACAAAGTGAAGATTTAAATTTTTTCTATACTGTGATATTATATACTTGTGCTAAATTAATTTGACTGTAAGGCTTTCTGGTACTCACCTTTAATCTCAGCACTGAAGTGGTACAGGGGGCCAGGTCTCAACAAGTTTGAGGCCAACCTGTCTTACATAGCAAGTTCCAAGCCAGCCAGAGCTACATACTGACATCCTGTCTCAAATAAAATTACTTTGAGAACTAAAGTATTGGAAATGAACTAAGACATTACACCAAATAAAACAAGGAGCTATAGAGATGACTCAGAAAACAACAGTGCTGATGCCTGCTGTAGCTGGAGTTTTCTCCAGTCTCGCTCAGGGCCCTCTCTCCCCCGCAGTTGCACAGCCCACTTATAAAATAATCACTCAGAAGCTCATATTAATTAAAATTGCTCAGCCATTAGCTCAGGCTAACTATTGGCTAGCTCTTACATCTTAAATTAACCCATTTCTATTCATCTATAAGTTGCCACATAGCTTGTGGCTTACCAGTACTTTTACATCTCGCTTCCTCTGTGTCTGGCTGGCGACTCCTGACTCAGCCTTCTGTTCCCAGAATTCTCTTCTCTGCTTGTCCTGCCTATACTTCCTGCCTGGCTACTGGTCAATCAGCGTTTCATTTATCAATCAATCAATCAGAGCAACACATTCATAGCATCCCCAGCAGCCTGCTATGAAAGCTTGAGGACCTGACTTTGAACCCCCAAAAGGAAGCTGAGAATGGTTCCCTGCGCCTGTGATCCCAGCACTGGAGGGTGGAAAAATGACTCCTGGGTGAGAGACCCAGTCTCAGGGGAGTAAGGTGGTGAATGGTAAAGGAAGACACACAGTCTCTGCGTTCACATCTTTCCCACATACACAGATCATACACATGCATGCACATGTGCACACATGCACACACACATACACACACAAACAAAAATGAAAGACTGAAGCAAACTTTAATGTAATAGTGGACCACATCTAGTCAGAAAGGAAAAATCCTTCTTTTTCTATTGTAAATTCGATTTTTTAGTATCTTTTAATTTATGCAAACATCTGTTTGTAGGTACAAACTGTAGATCTTAAATGGAAAATTGTGGTAGCTGTAAGCCCTTTGAGGCATGTAAGTGGCCAGGCCCCACCCACAGACTAACAGTCCCTGGAGACACAGAAGACCAAGCTCTGTCCCACAGAGGAAAAAAAGCCCAAGATCAGGGCACAGAATTTCTCTAATTCCTGAGCTTGACCCAAGATCAGATCACAAAATCCCACCAATCCCAGGCCACCCTGGAAAGCTCCCAAGCAACCCCCTATATAAAGCCTGCCTCCTATATAGTTCTTTGATGCTTCTCTGCCGAACAGAGGCAACCACCCTTTTGCGTCTTTCCCAATAAATCTCTTGTGTGAGGTTTTTTGTGTGGTGTGACTTTGTGGTATTTCTTGGCTTCCAACTGCCAGAATACCTTTCCTCTCAGAGGTACAACACTTAAAGTAACCCCCAGTTTTGTTAATTTTCCTGGCTTCAATTGTTCCTGAAAAGACCTACTATAGTGATATACATCCCTGTATTGTCTGAATAGATTAGAAATTAAACCCCTAGTACATTTGCTTGAAAGATTGATATAAACAAGGAAAGTTCAAGTGTAGTATATGGCCCTTCACATTACAAAATATGTGTCTACCAATCCTATATATACACGAATATATGTACCTAGTGTATATACATATGTACCTAATGGACATATTCTAGATGTGTTAATTCAAGAACTTGCTATTTTATTAGCTTTCAATGTTACTATTTTATTTGCTAAGGAAAAATAGTTCAGAGTATATTGAAAGTTATTAATTTTATAGAACAAAGGCTAATCTACTATAGATCATTAGCACATAGTTTTGCTATTTTCCTCATATGTACTTTACCTGTACATCTATGTAAACTCAGCCAAAATCAAGATAACAAAATTCCATTATCTCAAAAGTTACCTCATGTGTATTCCAGGAAACCTTCTTCCATATCTAGTCACAGGCAGTCACTGATAGCTTTTAAATTTTCTAACATGACGTAGGCCACAAGAACGTGTGTGTATAATTTGTATTCTTAAAGTTAATACAAGTAAGTCATACAGTATATGTTCTTTTTGTCTGGCTTAGCTGTCAACATGTTGAGATTCATTTGTTTATCATCATTAGTTCTTTAATTTTTAAAGCTGGTAATGTTCCATTGAATGATTATACTACAACTTGTTCATGTGTTCACCTATTCATAGCCACTTAGGATTTCACAGTAACGAGTAAACCATCTGTGATTATTTGGTGCATAACATTTTTGGAGACGAGTATTTTCATTCTATTGATTGAATATCTATAAGGGGAATGACTGGTTGCTATGAAGGTATTTACTTAGCTCTGGGGAAGCTGTCAGATGGATTTGGAAGATGGTTTGCTTTTGTTGCTGTCGTTTTGTTTCTATCATTTGTTTTTACCATATTTTCATTCCCCAAAGTAAAGAATGACAGTTCTAGTTACTCCAGATCCTCACCAAAACTCAACATGAGTCATCTTAAATTTGGCCAAGCAAATGAATCTCACTTTGTTTATATGCAAAAATATAGAAAACCTTTTGGTGTACTTATTGTCCTTTTCTATATCCAATTTTGTGAAATTTTTAATTTTTGACAACTTATGCTATGCAGCTTCTCATAGTGAGTGATGACTTGGAAGAACTTTATAATCTAGTCTTGGTACAATTCTTTGCTAAACATTATGAGTTGAGAATATTGAGAATTTTCTTTCAGTGTTTGTATTCATTTATTCTTATTTTTTATTTTAGTGATATCTTTAAAACACTACAAATTTAATTTTCATGAATTAAAATTTATTCCATTTCCCCTTTGAATGATTTTTCTGTTTTCTGATGTCTTTGCTTACTTCAAAATCTTTTTGTGGTGCTTTGGGCTCTGATCTATTTCAGGTTCATTTTGCATATGGTATGCTGTAGGCTCTAAGTTATATTTTTCTGATATGAGCATTTAAATTTCTCCAAGACTATTTTTCTTAATTAATTTATTGTTTAAAATCAATTTATTGCATGCACATGGTTTAGAGTTTGGATGTGTGCTTCAATCTCATGATTCAATTAACTATCCATATATCAGCCCCATAGTCTGTTATGTCTGAGCTATTTCCATTTGTATTTATTACTTATTATGTGGCTAACTATATTCTATTTTTATTAAATTTTACTCCAAAATTATTTATATCATATTTCCATGAATTTTAAAATTCACAGATTAATAGTAAAAATTATGAAGTTTTATGATATAAATTTTAAACTTTTAGGTGCTTTTTTAAATTTATTTTTTTTGTATTCTAACTGTTTGTTGCTAGGCTGTTGAAGCATTTTAAACTTTTAGATATTTTTCTTGTATATCAATGTACTAGACAAATATATTACTGGCTCCAATAACCTTTTGTAAGCTTCTTAACTTCCAAAATATATTATAATGTGAACAATAAATGAAGACATGTCTATGTGTTTCTTTGACTCTTCACTTTAAAACTTTTGTTTGAAGCCGGGTGGTGGTGGCGCACGCCTTTAATCCCAGCACTTGGGAGGCAGAGCCAGGCGGATCTCTGTGAGTTCGAGGCCAGCCTGGGCTACCAAGTGAGTTCCAGGAGAGGCGCAAAGCTACACAGAGAAACCCTGTCTCGGAAAAAAAAAAATAAAACTTTTGTTTGTCATTTTACTGAAAATGACTTCTATTGTAATGTTAAATAGAAGATTGAAAGTACATATATATGTGTATATTTATATATATATATATATATATACATAATTTCACTATAATTTTTATAGCAACCTTTTATCAGGCTGAAGGGTTTTTTTGAGTATCACAAAGGTTTATATAGCAAAATGTTTCATATGAAAATGTTCATGACTCAATCCACCCCACAGTCAAATAGGCCCTTTGGGGAGAGATGTGGACTCCTGTGCTGAACAGCCATTGTTCAGACTCTGCAAGGCTTCATACATGATGATGCCATTTCCTTGTGTGACCAACATTCCAATGTTATTCTGATGCCCACTAGGTGCCATCTCCACAAACTCATCACTCACAAGATTCATAGAGGGATCAAGGCCAAGTATTCCTTGTTCATGTCTACCACCATTTAACTTCAATGATAAATTCTTATCCATAAATTTCTTCAGTTTAGGAGGGTGAGCCTTGCTCATGATGACTCCTTGGTAGGCTTGGTGTGATAGCAAAGGAGCAGTTATGTTTTCTTATATCTCCTTTTAAAAACTGCTCTAGCAGCTAGGCTGTTTCTTTGTATTTTAACATCTATTGTAAAACAAACACCCCCATAGTTGGACTTCTTGCAAATTTTTAAAAATATTTTGTAGTAATGCTACCACAAATCAAGAAATGCTTTCTACTACAACATTTGCTGAGAGAATTTGGTGTTATTGGTACCGCCAGAGAGTAACAGAATTCACTGTGGAAGTCTGTGAATATTGTTTTAGTTGCACTTAGCAGATGTTGTATTATGATGCTTTTATTTAGATTTATTAATTGTAAAAGTTATGGTTTTTGTTGTGACACTTTCACATATGCATGTAATTACCTTGATCATCATATTTATAGCCTGTAGATGGAAGTTTTCCTGGTCTTGCAGCTGCTTGCTCCAAAGTAAACACACAGAGGCTTGTATTAATTATAAACTGTTTGGTCTATGGCTCAGGCTTCTTGTTAGCTAGCTCTTTCATCTTAAATTAACCCATTTCTACTAATCTATGTGGTGCCATATGGCTTAATCACGTTACCTGTGCTCCATTACATCTTGCTCCCCCAGCAGTACTCAGCTTCTCTCTGACTCCACCTTTCTTCTCCTTGTCTCTCTGCTTGGATTCCCTGTCTGACTCACTTCTGCCTTGCCATAGGCCATAACAGCTTCTTTATTAACCAGTGGTAACAACACATATTCACAGCACACAGAAAGACCATCCCACAGTACTTCTCCTTTTCTGTCTAATCAAAAAGGAAGGTTTCCATTTTAACATAGTAAAATTACATATAACAAAACAATTATCAAGCAAGAATTACAGTTACAATATTTAGTCTGTTTTTATTTGGCAAAATTAAAGAGAATACTCTATCATTTACCTTATCTTTGTGAGTCTAACATTTCATATCTAATTTATCTTTTATCATAACTAAGGAAAACTGTAACTATCTAGTCTTCAACTCCATCAAAGACTCCAGACAGATACTATCTGAGTAAACAGGACATACATTGCAAGCAACTTCCAAAACTCTAGAAATGACAACAGACATCTGGTTGCCTGGCCAGTCACCCAAAGTTCTTTTGTTACATTGGGGCATTCATATTCACCCTATAGGCCTAGAGTATCTGGCAGACTTTTCAGTGAAGCAGGAAATTTGAAGAATTGTTCTGTCTATTTTGGCAAAATTCATCAGTCACTTTCCTCTGTGTCCTGTAGAATGTCTGTCAGTTTCTTCTGTGAAGCAGGAACCTGAAGGACCATCCCACCTTGTTTTGGCAAAGTTCAGTGGTCCCCTTCCTCTGGGTCCTGCATATCTAATTTATACAACATATTGTCAAGCAGTCCAAGCAAGAGCAGTTTCTTACTCAAATGGCCAGTTTTGCCAAGAAGAAGATAAGCTCCATATAGAGTATCTTTGATGTCCATCTTCCTCTTTGAAGTAAATTGGTCTTACCAGGAGCAGACATGTCTCACTGTCCAGAAGAGTCTAAGTTTTAAAAACATATTAAATGCCATATTCTGTAGGTCTTTGAAGTGTTTGAAGATTACCTATCTAATTAAAATATATCTTTATATACCTAGAAAATTTAAATAACCTGACTATAAATTTGATTATCATAGATGACTAATTAATCTGTATTTTTAATTATGCATTATAATCCTAAATGAGTTGAATAAAGACAATACCTTAAACAAGAGTGGAAACATGTATACAATACAACAAAATTGACCTTAAATTTGTATCACTAAACCAAATCCATATCAAAATAATGTATTTTGAGATTAACAGTTGTTTTTTGGATCAAAGTAGATTCAATAATCTATCTTTTTTATCATTTCTGTATCATATCCCCCTTTTTTCTTTCGAGATTATATTTATAATCAACCCTCTTTAAATAAAACATTTATAAGCAGTATTTTGGGAATTTGGCCACAGCTTTTCATACTACTTCCTGATGAGTGGCTTGAAGTTGCCCTGAAGCTGTTCTGGTTGTTGGATCATCTAGGCCATAGATCCCATTGGCGACCTCTCAGGGGAATCTTCCTTGATGGAACCATATTAACCTGGAAGGAATTCACAGCTTCTCATCTTCTATGGAAACAAAAGCAGAACCTCTTTCCAAAGCAACAATTTCTTAGACCCAAATTTTGAAGTCATGATACCTTTAAAATATATGTGTTGGTTTAATTTAGCTTCTCTCATAATCAAATGTCTTTCTGCAGTTAGCTCATTAACAGTCAAAAAATTCAAAGAAAACACAATAATATACATAACCCAGACTTTCTGTGTATGTTCCATCTTTATAGGGCTTATTTCTTTTATTATTACTTTTACTGTCTCTTCAAAGACTTTATTTTTTAAAAACTATTTCTTTATATAACTGCCTATATGCCTTTTCCTCTCTCTTCCAAGCATATGTACATTTTTACAAGCATTGTAAACCATTTAGAATTTTTTTTCCATCTGAATATGTCCTATTGTGTATCTGTAATCCTTTTCTGAACAGGAGAGTTTTTAAATTGTTACGCTGCGAGGCTAAAATTGAAGCTGTAATTTCGGCTGATGGCTCCACTGACTCAGTTTTTCAACATGGTGGAAGTATGTTTACCACCAGCTGTGGGAGCTATGCTCACCACCAACTCTGGGAAGCAGTGGGTCTATGCCTCCACCAAGCAGCATGCAGCCTAGAATCATATAGCAAGCTAAGTCTGCCACATAGCATGCTGTGTGGCTTGGAGACACCTTTGTGTATCATAGCAAGAATCCACCATGCTGTGCTCAAGCTTGAATGCTGTACTGAGGACTGCATGAGAGACATGAACTAGGAAGCTGCTCTTAGCTCCATTTTAGAATCTAATCTTTTTTCTTTTTTTTTTTTAAGCACTTGAGTTTTATGTGGAAATTCTTGCCAAATGTCTGGGTGACAATTGTCAACAGAAGTTTCTTGGTCCCTCCCTGTCCTGTGTGGGTTGAGGGCCAATTGTAGCTGGATGTTTTCCTGTGTACCACCTGGCCTGCAGCAGCTTATAAAATAATCACTTAGAACCTTAATATTAATTACAAACCATTTGGTCTATGGCTCAGGCTTATTGGTAACTAGCTATTACATCTTAAATTAACCCATTTCTATTAATCTATGTATTGCCACATGTCTCCTGGCTTTACCTATGTTCTGTTACATCTTGCTCCCCTGGCAGCTTACACCATCTTGCCCCAACTCTGCCTTTCTTCCCCCTGTATCTCTCTTGGATTTTCCACCTGGCTATATACTTTGTTGCCATAAGCCAAAGCAGTTTCCTTATTAACCAATAGTAGCAGCACATATTCACAGTGTACAGAAAGACCATCCCATACCAATACCCTCTGCAACTCTCACTTATCCCTGCCCTCTTACTTATTAATTTTCTTTAATTTTTAAAGACTTAATAGTAGTATTGTTTGAAAGCTTATGGCATTGTTTCTGAAAATCTTATGTATGTATCTGTGTATGTATATATAATTTAAAATATTTATTAGCACTATCTAATTTCAAATTTTAAAGACCTAATAAGCCTCAAATTTCATGAGAATTAGTTTTGTTCTCCTAATGCTGTCTTGTGTATTTTATTACTACACCACTCACAGTACTTAGGAAATGGAATCAATCCAGTAGTCCATTGGAAGGTGAATGAATAAAGAGAACATGATAAACAAAATGGTTTATATTCACCCAAAAAGAAATGTGGAATCATGATAATTACAGGAAAATAGATGGAATTTAAAATCATTATGTTAAGTGAAATAAGCCAGATTCAGAAAGACAATAGCACCTTTGAAAAACTTGTGAATAACATTTATACAAATAGAGGTGTGTGTGTGTGTGTGTGTGTGTGTGTGTGTGTGTGTGTGTGTGTGTGTGTGTGTGTTACATGTGTCTATGTCCTGAAACTGGGAAATGAACCAGAAACAGGAGATAATGGAGAACATATAACATTAGAGCAGATGTGGGGACAGGCTGGGAGGAGATATCAGTTAAAAGGAATTACAAGTAGGTAAAGTAGGGAAGAGAATACTTCAGAACAGAGCAGTGTGTATGAAAATGCCATGAAAACCCATTACTTTGTATGATTACTTAAAAATTATTGACACAGTGAAGGGAAGTGTGGCTTCCATTTTAGACAGCTGGTAGAACTGTAGCATCTTTCAGTACAGACCCGAGTTACCTGGCAAGACTTAGTCTATGAGTGAGTTTGAGGGATTTTTACTGCCGTGCTTATCCTGTCTCTTCCTCACTGGTGACGTATGTGTCCTTTTGGCTTCAATTTAGGAAAAATTGTAACAGTTTGCAATAGGAATATATTGATATGAGATTGCTTTGTATTGGCATACTCTCAGGGAACAAAACACATCTTTTAGATGAGCCTGGGGCAGCTATATTGTACAGGAAGAGAATATGTAAGTAGTATAAATCTATGATGGCAGATAGAGGTTTATGAAAATATGAGCTTTGTCTAAGAATTTCTTAGCTGGTTTGGATTATTGATGGGGATAGTCTATATACTTTTACTTTTTTATTCCTTAAACAACTTCAGTTTGTATAGTGGTATATAGTAGTTAAGAAGACACTATGCCAGAATTTTTATGTAATCTCCTAACTCTCCATCAACATCTTAATAAATAGCAGAAGTGTAATTTTACAAACATAAAATTTGAAAGAAAATACTGACTTATATAACATGGAAGAATTTGCATTTTAATTAGCTTTTTTCTTTCTTATACAAACCATATTCTAGTAAGAAATATATCTAACAAAATTCCACTTTTAAAAGCTAATTTAATTTTTCTTCCTGTCTGTCTCTTTCTCTCTTTTCTCTCCTTTTTTGATTACTTGAAATTATGATTGATGAGCAGAATAGGATATTTATCAGATCTGGATCCCTTCTTTCTCTGTCTCAACTGTCTCACA